ACATACATCATAGAGTTCATTTCGTGTGTCATAATTTAGTTTTTTACTCAACAAAACATAAGCAAGAGGACTTTTTGCAGTATACTGGTAACACACTATTCCATTTACATTCACTGCTTTCAAATGTGAAGTGTCTGTGGGGTTTGCCATCCAATCTATTTCAAATTTTTGAATGGGATAACCGTACTCTTTTTGACAAAAGTCCTGTGAAGGTTGAGAATCCAAATTGGTGAATGAGTTGACGTTGTTGTCTTCATTCATTATCTTCTTTACCCAAGTATCTCCTTCTTTTCTGGTCCATACAAAATGTCTCCAAGGTTGCATTGCAAGGTAATAAAATATATCATATCCACCTTCATAAGAGTGTTGCCAAGAACCAGCATTTTTGCCTCGGCCCATTCCACCAAGATCATAATAGTCTACATCTCCGCTAAACTCATTCAACGGATCTGAACGTACACCAAGAAAAGTAATTAAAGCCAATATAACAATAATAATGTTTTTCATTCTGAAAATTACAGGTTGTCAAGTCTTAAATATTTATAAAAAGGTTGGAATAAAACAAAAAGAACATATTCTTTTTTTACTTGTCTCTTCAAGGAAAAAACAATTGGTCTTCAAATAATTTATTAACTGTTATTATTTGGTTTTGATGAAACATATTTTATTTATGAAATAAGTAATGAATAGAGAATTATAATGGAAATGTTGCCGACAAATTAAAGATGTTTTGTGGAAACAAAAAAATACCTGTTTGTTCTATAATTAACTTTGATGGAACAAATTTATTTGAAAGCTTCTATAAATATTTTTTTGAAATTAAAACAATTCTAAATAATAATAATAAATTACTATATTTTTGAAAATATATTTTTTAAAAAACCAAATTAAAATTATGTATTTATATAATTATTGTCTTTTTAAGTCATAAAGATACAATAACAATTATTACTGTTTTAATATTTTTAAATTATTTTTAAAAAGTTTGTCTTGTAAATTATTTAAATTATTATAAAAATTTGTAAAATTATAAAATAATAATAATTTTATTAATTATCATAATATAAAAAATAGCAGTAAAAACAAATAATTTTAACTAATTAAAGTAATATCAATATAAAATCTGTTTTCTATTTAATTTATTATTTTTATAATATAATATATTATATTATAATTCATAAAAAATAAATAATATATCATATTTATATCATAATCATATAATATATAAAGTTAATTTAACCTAACGATTCTTTTTTTTTCTTTTATAAAACATTTTTTTGAAAAAAATGTTTTGTTGATGAAAACGCAAATACCTTTAGTGTTTTAATTAATATATTTCAAAAAATTAAAGAAAAAAGAAAAACCTATAAATTGTTTGCGTGATTGGTTTGTTTACTGTTTACATTTCAAAAGAGTCGTCACAAGGTAAGTTTTTTTGTATATTATATCAAGTTCAAAAAAAAATTAAATTTGTGTTTTATTTAAAATAGTAACAGTATTGTAAGGTTAACTATACATGTTAGTTGTTTTTTAAATATTTTAGAAAAAAAAATGTGTGAAAATTTCAATTTGTTTTATAAAATTTAAAAAAGCAATTCAATGAGCATTTTTTTAATTTAAATAATATCTTGATATATTCCATTACTTGTAGTTCGAAGTTTAAAAAATGCCATAAAAAGACTGACTGTTTTAAATTAAATATTATTTTATATTTTATTATACAACAAGTTATTCATTCCAATGTTGTTTAAATGTTGCAAAATACGTTTCATTGTTTTCCGGTTTGTTAACTGAGATATTTTTAACAACCTTTGTCTTTTTTATTCAAAATCCACTTGTACGATTTTCAATGAATCCAAAAACGACTGTCAAAACAAAATGCAATATCATTAATAATTTTAATCCACTTTAACTAAAATAGAATGTAATTCTAATAATTCGTTTTTAATAAATCCACCAGTTGCTTCTAAAAATTTCAAATAAAAAATAAAAAAATATTTTATATTAAAAAATTCCATTCAACATTTTTGCTATTTTAAGTATATTTTATGATATTCTTAGTGTTCATTTTTATTTTTAGCTTTTATTTAACAAATTTTTGTTACATAATTTGTAAATTTCATCCACAACACAACATGTAAATGTTATTTTTAGAATATGTTGAGTTAATATACCTATTTTTAATATTTATCATAACTTTACATTTAAAATGCTTAAAGATGAATACACATTCTTTGCGAAAATAATAATAGTTATAATAGAAAAAGTCGTTGACTTTTTAAATCGAGTTGTCAACAATCACAGCTTGATGTAAAACACTCCTCACTTAATGTTTATATCGAATGTGTTTGAGTTCCGAAATATACTTGCAACAACAACAATAATTGTTTATAATTTAAACTAATTGATATAATTGTTAATATATTAAGTTTCAATAATATTGAAAGGATTATACTTCGAAATATTCGAATATCATTACAAAATTCAAACAGTATATGAAAATCAAAAATGATGCCTTTATTTTTAGGATTATCTTAAAAATATACAATCATAACCAATAATAATGCTGACAGGTACTCACAGTTTGTGATTCACATTTTGGAATTGTAAAAAAGCAACAACACAAAGATGGGTATAAAAAAAATTGTAAAAAAACTCTTATGAAACATTAATTATTTTATATATTTAAATTCATTTGCTTTTTAAAATTTTTAAATTTTTAAACTTTTTAGTTTCATGTTTGAAACAAATCTGAAAAATTTCTGTCGAATTTATTTTTGGTTAATTTTACCAGTAAAAATGA